ATTGACATGCTTAAGACAGTGATCAGCAAGTACAATTCGTAGCGAGGTAGCTAGTCTTACGTATTCTTCCAAACTGGGCGGCTTAATCGAAAAACCTACTGATCCGGTTAGGATTCGTGTCGTTACAAAATTAGTTAGGCGTGCACCAACCATGAAGTGTGTTCCCATCGTAGATAGATGCAGCTTTTGACTTTGCCTCATGTCAAGAAACCGCCAGAGCCGAACTATACCAATTCGAACTTTGCTCATTGCCGCATTGAATTCGTTTTGCGCTTCTGTAAGCTTCGAGCCCTTGAATCCGACTTGCAAATTTGGCTTCAATGGGCATGCTGGGTCGCCGTAGATGCAATAAGATGTGTTATCCCCATCATTCAGCACATGAGGGAGTATATTCAACAGTCCACTCTGTCTTAGCTGCCACGGGCCATGGCGGCGACCAACACACGGCCCATAAAAGTCGATGAAGAGGCCATCAGGAGCCATCACACATTGGTTATTTAAATGTTTTCTCTTGTGACCATTGTAGACTTGCTTTTGATTTCTCGTGGGGCGAGCAATACCACTCACAGTATCATCAATAAACCCGATTCATTTTCGCTCTGGTGCTCCCCGTTGCCTCACAGCAGCAGCACATGCTTCCAGCCTCGAAGTTGTCAGTAGACCGCTTTCAATCGCAAGAAGGCTCTTGAACTTGTCGTACACTAGCCGCAGCATAAAGTTGAAAATCAAGCAGATGACCGGACCCGATCGTCCAAACAAACAGCACAGGTCACCATAATGGCCGGTGTATGTCATGCGACGCAAGAGGATGTAAAGCCTTTCAAAACTTGAATATGCAACTCGATTTGGAAGCCGATAGGTGCCCTCAAGGTAGAATGCTTCGAACAATCGAAAAAGATCCTGTTTCGAGAAGCGAAAGTAAAACGCGCGCACTGTAGGTAATGCATCTAGGAACTTCCGTTTCTGCGATGTGTTGGGCAGAGTCACTTGAAGCCAGCAGCAATATGGCTGCTTCCTCCGAAAGTACGCCGCACTCAAGAAGAAATCAAACGAAGACAGATTTCATATTACGAACTGATACAGACGTACAAGTCGTAGTTGCAAAAGCTCTTTCTAGAACTTTGACGAACGATTGCATGGCCGCTCTGCGTGCCACTTCTCAACCGTCTCTATCCCTCTCAAGTTTCTCTTGCGAAACCTCTCTCATTTCTAAGATGAAGTACGAGGATTTTCCATATGGGATAACAGCTTCACTATTACCTAGCTCGCCAGCCTTGACGACGATCGCTTGACGACGTGTCACTACCTGTTTTCTCTCGCCCTATACCCGCTTCATCTTGCCCTGACGAGCTATTTCCCCCCAATGTGGGGATAAATCGTGCCACTACTGTGCTGGAATTTATCGACATGAACTACGTCGGGCCTCATCATATTGTCGCCTGCCCCAAGATGAAGTACGACTTGAGCCTGGGCTTCAAGCGCAGGATAATCTGGAACCGATGCAAACGAGTGGGCAGTTGCTGGTCAAAGCCACAAGAGAAAGTGAAGTCGGCTGTCAAGACTAAGAAATCGGCCCGCAAGCAGACCCCGGTAGAAGACCGCCTACCGAACCGGTAAATTCGTGCGAGACGGCGCAGTCAGGCGCTCCGGTGAGCCCACCGCCTGTCAGCCCACCAACCACCATGACGCCCGGGTACGAAGATATGCACGGCACTGA